TCCTCTTAATGTTGATTGAAACGTGTAATTTTCAATAATGCTTACTTAATTTTTTTTGTTTCACAATAAAAAACCATAACATGTTAAGAAAAAATGATATGTTTTTAAGAAAAACTGGCATATATAAATTTGGGGCAATTGCAAAAATGTCACTTTTGGTGTGTACGTTTGCAAGAATGCCAGTTAGAGGTGTCCATTTGCAAAAATGCTATTAATTGTGGATTTTAAAGCCTAAATCTTAAAATTATAAACCCTAAAAAAGTTTTGACTCCTAAAATCCGTAAAACCCTCAAAACGAAACCCTAATACAACATAGTTAACTCAAACATAAATGATATAATAAAAAAATAATTTTGAAAAATAGCATTTCTTAAAACTTACTTAAAATGTTGTGGCTATTTTTTTTGGTTATAACTACCCCTCAAACTAGAGCTTGTTAATTACTCTTGAAAGTAATGTAAGTCAAAATCCTGTGTGGTGTAGTCTACACTAAGGGTGGCTTCTGCTAATTTTTGTCTTACTAATGTGGGTTTTACGTTTTAATAGCCTCACTCCTTTGAAAAAATTAAGCCTACTGTTATCTCAGTTAAAAGAAATTATTGGGCGTGGGCCGAGCGGTTCTGCCAAAAGGAGAGGTTAAAGAGAGTGGTGGTTATTGTGCCTTTTCATCAAAACCGAGAAAAACGGACTCAACCGTCTCCTTCTTGTCATTAAACCGCCTACTCCAGATCTGTCTTTTTACTTTACTCTTTTCTAACCCTAATTTCTCTCGTTTTCACTCAAAGAAACCGTTCCTCATATTTTTCTCACTCATTTCCATTTGTTGCATCCTCTTGGTCAAATTCGTTCTTGATACGCTATTTAACGATGTCTGTGTCCTCAGAAGATGTACCCCAACTTGTGGAAAAACCCACTCCGACTAAAAGAAAAAGGCCTTCTCCAACAAGAAAGGGAAGTAAAGCCAAGAAGGCGAAATCATCAGCACCCATCAAAGTAGAGTGGATAAAAGGACTATCGCACATCTTCTTCGTACTGCTGCATAGAGCAGTGGAGAGTCAGATTCAGGAGTCCCGCCGGCCGGAACCTCCAAGACCTCGAAGCAGAGACATGTAAAGCCTGAAATGTCTAATCTCTCTAAAGA